CTTTAAGAAATTTTTTTTATTTTGAGGTATGACCTTGAGGCTTGTGCCTCAACTCACAAACAAAAGGCGCCTCAATACCCAATTTGGGTTGAATTTGAAGGATGGCTAATTATGAAAATGGTTTAATTGCTTACTTAATAATCTAAAGGCCATATATTTGAGTTACAAACATCACCTATCTATAATATAGGAGTAAGATTGTAAAGCAAACAACCACAGACGCTTCATTGGAAGGGACTTCATGCACTAGGCTACAACTTTGTTGATTATAAATAAAAGAAATGGCTTTTCTATGCATCCCATATAGGGATCAAATCTTCCCGCTTTCTCTTAGCCATGAGATTATTTCTATCCACCTGTACCCTTTTGTCTACCTCCCCTTAAATAAGCATCCATCTCTTCTTTTCAATCTCAACTTTCTCTTTATCTCCCTAAATCTTCCTCCACATAAGGGCTTTTCTTTCTCAATAATCAAGACATCAAACCTCCACCAAGATCCACACTTTTGAAACTTAATTAGGAAAATGATTTTGGTTGATCCTCCCCCTCAATTAGGATGCTTAATATTGCATGATCCAAAAAATAAGAGCTAGGAGACTAGCCTTGGTTGCAGGCACAACACAGGTGTTTAGGATTGGATTCATGTGGAGAGAGGATTGTAGATTGTAAGCACTAAGTTAAAAATCTTAACAGGTTTTTATTTTTTTTCTTTTCTTACTTTGCCCTTCTCCTAGTAGACTCCCTTGCCTTGACAAAAATGTCCTCCACCTTCTGTCTCCGAGGTAGAAAATGAAAGAGAAGAAAGAGTGAGTGGAAAAGAGAGAGAGGGAGCACAAACTCAAATTTAACAGAGAGAGAAAGAGAGAAAGGTAGGCTAACTAATGAGATAGAGAGTGTGTAGGCATTTGGAGAGAACAAAACTTAATGAAGAGCCTTTAGATCAAATTAAATGCATGAATTAATTCAATGAATGAAAATCTTATTATAATATATTATTATTTATAGAAGGAAAAAACTTATCTATTCATCCTTAAAGAAAAAAAGAGCTACTATTCCTGACCAAACAACTCCTTGATCAAGCCTTCTTCCTCCTTATTGACTCATTAGGAGGGAAACCCCATGAATATTAAAATTCCCTCTCTCTTTTCTCGTCTTCATGTATGCGGCTTCAAGAGGGACCTTTTCGAAAACTTTACTTTTAAGACTTCTTATGTACCATGACACTAGCTTAAATAAATGAAAGTTTCACGCTTGTGGTTCAACCTCCTAGATCCACTTCCATTGCCCTCTTTTCATATCAATTATTATTAAAGCATGGCTATTAGACTTAGCACTTTTTTCTTCCATGAGTACATACTTCTCATTGATAGTGCGGTGCATTTTTCTACATTTATTTCAAATTTCTGCTTGTTTCATCTTAGTTATATTTTAGCACTGACCATTCCTAAATTCATGTTTTTGATACAACTTTGCCAACTTTCTGCAATTTATTTTAGCTTATTATTGTTTTCTATCCATTTATTCTTTTGGCTTATTGTTTTTCTTTTCAACACCCTCCTACCTAATAAAACAAACACCCTACAATCTTTCCATTACAGCCAGTCAACCCTAAACTCCACCAACATTTCATAAATTGAAATCCTAACATCCATAGTTTTCTCCACAAAATTCTACACCTTATCCTCCATTTGATTATGTATTTATTCTATCCATTCATAAAATCCCATACAAATAGTTAGTGCGGTTGAACAACCTATAAAATCCCAAAAACATAAAAAATAAGAATTTTCTTGAAAAATCAAATTCGGATGTTCACAATTTCAAAACTTTGAATTTGATATTATGAAATAAAAGAAATTTGAAATCTAAAACTTGATATACCAATTTGAAGTTCAAACTCAAATCAAATTTGAAAGCCAACTGCAATTATGTCATTCCCTTTTTCTCATTGTATAAATACTCCATCCTCTCACCCATTTAAGATATAACATATGTTATAAACTTCATATAGCCACCACCTCATCCTATCCTCCTTTCATGCACACATAATCTTATCTTATCCATTAAAACCGTATCCCATCTAAATTGTTTAAAAACCCTATTTAAACCCACTCAAAAGAAATCTAACCTGATTAAGATTAGGACAATATGGCTAACCCAACACAATGCCCAACCTATCCCAACTATGAGCCTAAGTGGAAAAAACAAATAGCTTCTATCCAACAATGCTTCAAAGTAAGAGCGTCAAACCAATCTATCAATTACTCCCACTTTCTCATTGCAATGAGGTCCATTTTCTCTCTTTACCCATGCCTCTCTTTCCTGAGGTGTTCATTCACCCCTACTTCTCCATCTCATCTTTCTATTCATTGGCCGGTTCTTCCATGTTAGATTATTTCCTTCTTATCAATTAATTTATCAAAGCTCCACCATAATCTGCACTTCTACTTCCCAATATACATCAATGACAAGCATGTCAAGCACAACAACATCAAGCCTTTATCCAATGCGTGGGGTCGGCTACATGAATCATTTTTCTCCATTGTGTCCGGTTAAGAGTCAAATTCTCATTTGGATCTAATAAAGAAAGGTCATTTCTAATATTTTCTAATCAATGACAAGCATGTGATTGCACATAATGTAACCCCATCATGATCAAAAGTCCTGCCCTCGATTATCCCATCTAAATTATTTACAAAACCCAATTTTAACCCACTCAAAAGAAATCCAACCTAATTAAGATTAGTACAATATGGCTAACCCAACACGATGCCCAACCTAGCCCAACTATGAGCCTTAGTGGAAAAAACCTAATAGATTCTATCCAACAATGCTTCAAAGTAAGAGCATCAAACCCTTCTATCAAATATTTCCACTTTCTCATCGCCATGAGGCTCTCTTTACCCATGCCTCTCTTCCCCTGAGGTGTTCATTCACCCCTACTACACCATCTCATCTTTCTATTTAATAGTTGGTTCTCCTTCCATGCTAGATTATTCCCTTCTTATCAATTATTTTATCAAATCTCCAACATAATCTGCACTTCTACTACCCACTATACATCAATGAAAAGCATGTGATTGCACATAATGTACCTCCACAATGGTCAAAAGTCTTGTCCATGATTATCCCATTTAAATTTTTTTTTCAAAACCCTATTTTAACCCCATCAAAAGAAATCCAACCTAATTAAGATTAGCACAATATGGCTAACCCAACAGATGCCCAACCTAGCCCAAAATGGATAAAACAAATTGCTTCTATCCAACAATGCTTCAAAGTAAAAGAATCAAACCAATCTATCAATTATTCCCACTTTCTCATCGCCATGAGTCTCTCTTTACCCATGCCTCTCTTCCCCTGAGGTGTTCATTCACCCCTACTTCTCCATCTCCTCTTTCTATTTATTGGCTGGTTCTTCTTCTATGCTAGATTATTCCCTTCCTATCAATTAATTTCTCAAAGCTCCACCATTACCTGCACTTCTACTACCCACTATACATCAATGAAAAGCATGTAATTGCACATAAAGTATATCCATCATGATTAAAAGTCCTATCCTCGATTATCCCATCTAAATTATTTACAAAACCCTATTTTAACCCACTTAAAAGAAATCCAACCTAATTAAGATTAGCACACTATGGCTAACCCAACATGATGCCCAACTATGAGCCTAAGTGGAAAAAACAAATAGTTTCTATCCAACAATGCTACAAAGTAAGAGCATCAAACCCATCTATCAATTATTCCCATTTTCTCTTCGCCATGAGGCCAATTTTATCTCTTTACCAATGCCTCTCTTCCCCTGAGGTGTTCATTCACCCCTATTTCTCCATCTCATCTTTCTATTTTTTGGCTGGTTCTTCTTCTATGCTAGATTATCCCCATCTTATTAATAAATTTGTCAAAGCTCCACCATAATCTGCACTTCTACTGCCCATTATACATCAATGACAAGCATGTGATTGCACATAATGTATCTCCATCATGATTGAAATTTGTGCCGAAACTTGCTTAAATTAGAAGTTTAGTGGGGCTTTCTAGCATCTTCAAATGACACTTGTTGTGTCAATAAATACTTAGATGATAAAAGCATGAAAGTAAGGGGAACAAAATGAATTATGTTTATGTTATGATATTTTTCTGTACGACTGCCTGCTCCCGCTCCGTTAATTCGGGCTAGCCGGGTCGGGTCGTGACAAGAGTGGTATCAGAGCCAAGGATTTAATACTGATCAATGAAAGAGCCTATAGGATGATTGATTGAGTCTTAGAATGTTTAGGCAATGTAAATTTATGAATTATTTTGTCTTATGATTATGTTTATGTTATGATATTTTTCTGTACGACTGTCTGCTCCCGCCCCGTTAATTCGAGCTAGCCGGGTCGGGTCGTGACACAAAACTGCTAGAAACAATCCTTAAAACTCCTCATAATCCACCCAGAAAACTATTTGACATTTCATGTAAATAGTTGTCTGAACAAGCATAAAAGAGAGGAGCCACAAGTTCAAAAGGCTGCCCTATTGTTACAAATGAAATTATGAATCAAAACAAAAATAAGCACTGCATGTCAAATGTTCAATTTCACACGGAGAAGTCTCAAGCTAACAAAACGTACAAAATATGAAACAATGAATTCGTATGATTATGATTTATGAAAATAACCATTTTAAGTTCTTCACAAAGAAAAATAAAATATAAAAAGACATGTAAAATAAAACATAAAAGGCTTGGTCACCAGCCTCCAAAAAACAGTCAGTATAGTTCATGTTATCTCTATGATTACTTATAATGTTGGACTTGACGACAGTACACAAATAAAATTACTAGGAAAACAAAGAAAGTAATCAAATCCAATAGATAGAGCAAGCAAAGCTCCAATTTTTTTTCTGAACAAGAGTGATAAGGACATATGCTTCCAAGCAATTAACATTAAAAACAAACAAAACTAGAATTCTCCCAGATTAAAAAAGATACAATAAACATGTCAAAATACCAGTATCATTATTTTGCAAGTGCATCTTCGATTAGCTTCAATGATGAAGCTAAGAGCTTCATTTTTCGCATGTGTAGCTGAATCTCAGTAATTTCCAACTTTTTACAACTTCCCTCCAACTTTTTTGCTTCTGCAGTAGGTATATGACTCTGCACTACTGATGCAATGTTGGCGTGGTCATTCTTGGCATGCCAACGCAGAAAAGGATACTCCACTGCCAAATGATTTGCTTTTCCTTTATCCTCCTTAATGATCTCCTTCACTTTCTTCGCTTTCTCTGGCTTCAAATTATTCTCTGGAAAAACAGGTTCATCCTTGCGAGGACCCCAAATCTTCTTCGACAGATCAAAAGCAGCAGCATCATGAACGTTAGAAATGTTTGGATTATTAGGATCTTTTACCTTTTTAATAATAGTGTTATACTTCTGCTTCAACCTACGAATCTTGTCATTCATCTGGGTCAGGGTGACAGAGCTGGATAACGAATCATTCACAGATTTCAGCAGGGACTCCACCGGTACTTGAGTGGATGTCCCGTGATGGTGCTCGTTATGATCCAGAATGCATTGCAACAAGGCCAACTCATCTGCCTTGCTCCAAATCCTCCGGGTAATCTCTTTCTTCTCCTGGACTGCCTCTTCTCCAATTATATCAGCAGTCTTTCTCTTTTTCTCAGAAATTTGGGCTGGGGTGGTGGTGGATCGCTTCCTAGAGCTGGGGCTCTTGTCCGCTGGCTGAACAGGGCTGCCCATTGGCTTGGAACTTAGTGGTTTCAACGAAGGATCGGCAGCGTTGCGGGAGGAAACCCGAAAAGGAGGTGCAACAGCATCAGAATCAGAGCTACTTCCTGATTCATCTTCTGAGGCTGAGTCCGAACCAGAAATTGGTGTTGCAGCTTGCTTCCCTTCACCATTTGCAGCTTCTTGGGGTGGAGGAGGCAGTGGCTGCTGCTCCGATTCAGAACTGGAATCCACCTCCTCTCCATCTTCTGATTCCGTATCAGAAAGAGGAGAAGTGTTGAAACCTTGCTTAACATCAGCGTTTCTGGAATCTGTCGGCAGTGGTGGTGGTAGTGGGTTGGCTTTTACAGCGGCTGCCCCGGAATCCTCAGATGATTCCTCGTCCGTGGACTCCTCTTCACTCTCAGAGCTCTCTTCATCCTCCGCTTTTTCTCCAGAGAAAAACTTTGGGGAAGGCTCGGGGTGCTTTTGCAGAACTGCCGTGGTGGAAGCAGCGGCAGGCTTCTTCACTGGAGAAATCGCAGGAGGAGGAGAGTCCTCCTCGTCGGAAGAGGAGGGGGGCGGTGTAGGAGAAGGAGGAGGAGGTAGCTTCTCCTTCGACTTCTTAGCCATGCTCGCTGGTTGTTGCTAGGGTTTTTGGCGGCGGCGAGGGCTTTAAAACGAATATCGAACCTTTAGCCGCTTGATCGGCATTTTAAAGCCGATGGTTGGTACAAATGACGAAATTTTTTTACCTAAAATTTAGTTATGATAAAAATTATATAAATATCAAAGTTATGAATGAGATGGCATAATAAATTTTATAATTATTTAAATAAAAAATAAATATATATCAATATAAATTTATAGGTATAAATAAATTAAATTTATAAATTTCTATTAAGTTATTTGGTCCAACATCAGTTGGGAGCTTATATGGGGTGGTAGGACCATATGGATATGTTGTGTTGGTGCTTAAATGATAAATAATTATTATATAAATTTAAGCTTATTATAAAATTAAAGATATTACATTCAAATTAATTTATCAATTAATATTTTATTAAACATTTTATAGTAAATGTATTTATTTAATTTCTTAAATAAGATATCAATCGAATCTGCCAGTTCTTAAAAATTGGGACCATCTCAAAGGTTGGTTAGTTGAATTGGCGGTTCCAACCGATTCACACTGGTTCGATGTTGGGTAAATTTTTAAGTTGAATCGAACCGGTCATATGACGGGTTCACACTTGAATTGGTGGAATCGGCCAATCCGATCCGATTTTCAAAACCATGATAAATGCATCATGAGATAGCTTTAAATAACAAGTATAATAAAGAATTGGAGTTCAAATGATGTATAATAAAAAAATCTCAATCAAAAGCTAACATAGACAATATATGTATACTAAAATGGGGCTCAATAGATGGTCAAGAAGGAAAATATTAATGACTATATCATCTTAGTTATGTTTGAGCAACTTTGATACAACAATAACAATTGTGTTGCATCTCAAACTATTTGCACTCCATTATAAAAAAAAAATAGACATCATCATCCCCAAAAAAATATTGTAGGTTTCCTAATTATGAGTATAGAGAGTAAGATTGTCTTGTCAATAAGAAAAATTAGATGAAATTAAAAAAATGATAAAGTAAATTTTGGAAACTAATGATTCGTTTGGGACAGCTTTATTACTGCCTCATAAAGCAGCTTTTTAATACAAAACTTAATTTTTTTATATTAGAAAGCTACTTTAAGAAGCAGAAAGAGAGTCGTCACAAACAAAGCCTAAGGCTTCATTTGAGTCAGCTTTCTTATTGCTTTCTAAAATTACTTTTTAGCACAAATTTTTTAAAAAAAAAAATTAGTAAAAAATTTGTCCCAAACGAAGCCTAAATATAATCATAGTGGTACTATCATGAAAAAGTCTCTAATATATGATTTAGCATAGTCATAGTTTTGTTGGCATTGTCACACAAAGATTTCCAAAAGTGTTTGGCAGTATTACTTGGCTTTATCCAAAGGGAGGTATAACCATTGAATAACTAAGAGACATGATAGGTGCAAGGGGTGCATAGTCTCCATATGAGTTTGCATTAACTCAAAAGCCTCATGATAATGCTGAAGAGAAATGGAGACAATTGGCATCCTTACCAAAGGCTAGTAATGGAGGAAAAATAGCCTCTTAATTTCTCATTATTTATCATAGAAAAATGAACAATAAAAGTGCAAGCCACAATTTAATTAATGAAAATTTTGGGGAAGCCAAGTTCTAGAAGTATAATGTAAAGGAAGCTATAATTAGGGTTGCAAACGAACCGAGCCGAGGGAGTATGTGAGTGTTTATGTTTGTGTTCATTTAATATCAGCTTGTTCAAGTTTGGTTCATGTTTGTTCGAGCTTTATTATTTGTGTTCATGTTTGGTTCATTAAATTAAATAGTGTTCATGTTCGGTTCATGTTCAATTCATGTTCGTTCGTTTAGTGCTTATCGAGCTTGTTCACGAACATATTTAACGAATTTTTTTAACTGTCAAACAAAAATGTTCATGAACATATCTATGAACGAACACATTTATAATAAAAGCAATTGTCTATTTATTAATTATATAGTCAAATATTAATTATTTTTATCGAGCTTATTCACAAGTTCAAAATCGAACACAAATCGAGCTTTTATCGAGTTTGTTCACGAACTTCAAATGATGTTGTTCGCGAACATAAATGAGCCGAACGCATTAGTGTTCAAGTTTGTTTATTTAAGAATCGAGTATTTAAAATATTGTTTAAGTTTGTTTGTTTAGTTAATTAAACGATCACAAACGAGCTTTAATCGAACCGAACAACGAGTAGCTCGGCGAACGTTTGGTTTGCTTGCAGCCCTAGCTATAATTCACTTTGTCAAAAGCTTTTTTAATTATGTCAATTTTGATAGAGAAGTATCTTGGAATTGCTCTTTCAAAAAATATTTTAACAAAGAATAAAGCTTAAAAAACTGTTGCTCTTTTTTAATGATGATGGTTGAGATTTAACTAAATAAATTAAGAAAATAATTATCTCAATTACATGTAATGGGATAAATATTTGATGTTATTATTATTGTTGTAACTATTGCAATTACAAAGGATTAAAAATTTTAAGTTATTAGAAGAACTATAATATTTTATATGCAGCTATAACGAAGAAAAAAATCAAATGAAATAGACTAACATATAAAGTAGTGTGAATATTTCAAAATAATAAAATTAATGATGACCCAATGACTTAAGAATAACCAAGAAACAAAAATTCAAATTACATGAGAAACATAGCTCATAATTTCAACTAAAAATATAGTTGTAAAACAATTATCTTAAAAAAGGTGAAAGGCATCCACAAAGAGATTTAGGCTTCGTTTGGGATGATTTCTTTCTGCTTCTTAAAGCAGCTTTTTAGTATCAAATTTTTATTTTTTGTACTAAGAAGTTGCTTTAAGAAACAATAAAATAGACGTCCAAAACGAAGCCTTAGTCACTCATCTATAACCCAACATGAAACATCACATATGAACAAGAAGCATAGAGAAACCCTCCCTAAGTCTGATTGATAATCAATAAAATAATTTCAATCTTCATAAAGATTATAAAATAAGTCGTCTTTCTAATATATTGTAACTAAAAGAAGTTCCTAGATCTAGGAAAATCAAAGCTAAGAAAATAAAATTTTCACATAAACTTAATCAAATTGAACTAAGGTTGCAACTGAGAAGGCACATTCATTTCCAAATTCCAACATTTTAATTTATGTCTTAAATGAATCTTTTTTTTTTATCCAGCGGAAGAGGAGAGAATGAAGGATTATAAGCAAGAACTATATGATGCATTTCAAGTCAACTTGGTGCAACAAATTCTAAAATTTTGAAAATTAGCCAATGACCCCATGTCATTACAAATAATCAAAGTTTTTAATTTATTTATTAGTATTGATTGTATTGTAATTAGGATAGCCAAAAATAAAAAGATCATCGGCAAAATGATTCAATATTTATGGAAGTGAAATCAGAATGGTCAAAAATGTAAAAAAAATTGATTAAATTTTGGACTAAGATTGTACAATTGGGCTCAAAACTTAGATCAAAATGGGTAGGCCTAACTCAAATGGCTAACTCGGTCTATTGAGTAATTATCTAGTTCGAGTAGAGTCAAACTAGATCAAAATATTTTGAGTCAATTTTTATACAAGTTGAATTTAGACCCAAGCAACTATGTATTAGCAAATTTGAAGCAAAACAAGCCTAATATTTTCTACTTTCAAGCCCTAATTATTGCAGTTTCATTAATTCAAACCTCGTCAATATTGTTTGTAGGAAATTTAATTGGAGAATTAAGGCTTCGTTTAGGACGACTTTCTGACCGCTTCTTAAAGCAGCTTTTCAGTATAATAATTAAAATTTTTGAACTAGAAAGCTGCTTTAAGAAGCAATAAAAAAGTTGTCCCAAACGAAAATTAAGAATTCATTTGGAACAGTTTTTCTTAAAGCGATTTTTTTATTTTTGTACTTAACAAAATTGTTTAAAAAAACAGTAAGAAAATTATTCCAAACAAAACCTAAATAAAAATTAAATACACGCTTTAAATTAACAGACTTGATCAAAATATGTTGCTTGAAATATCACCACTCTTTTCCCTAATAAATTTAAAAATTGATCAATTTTCTATTTATATTTATGATCATATTTATTTATTTTTGAACAAATAATTAACAAAAAAACTTGATAAAAAAATTCACTTAACAATGATCTAATTTTTTAGTTCATAATTCTTTTATTACATTCTATATATTTTAAAAATATTTTATATTATTAAAGTATAATATGATAAAAATATCAACAAAATAGTCAGCTACATAAATATTTGTACTTTACCAAATTGTATAAATAATATTTAGTATTCGGTTCAATAAGATTCATTTAATGATATGCATTCCAGACTAGCTAGTAACACATAAAAGTATGGAAGTACAGCCTCATGAGATGAGAAAGATGCACGAGACTGCAGAATCCATTATTTCAAATCTAGCATTCACTAACTATTTTTGGTGCATCTGCAGACTCCTCATATGAGGATCAGCAGCTACCATTTGTGGACTTGGTCTGCATGTTTATCAAGGCAATCGTTTTTACCAGTCAAGTTATCTTCAATGGAGAAGGAATAACGTATCCACCGAGGCTCAGGGTGATTGGTCGGCGAGTACGATTGGGAACCTCTCATTCCAGGTTCGAATCCCCTCTACTATGGCTTGTCCGTTTATGTGGGGCAATGCAAGTGTGGGCCCGATGCCGTGGGTGGCCTTACTAGGTTCCGCTGAGGGCTTAGTTATGACGTCAAGTGCTTCATTTAGAGTGGCAGCGGATAGATACCCCTGTTCCACTGATCAAAGTTCTACTCATTGTACTGTGATTGCTTCATTCAGTTTGGTTTGACTCAATATTCACACACATCTTGATAATATTGTTTTACAAAACTTAGCATCATACAATATGTAGAAACCAGACCTCAAAAGGCCTACTAAACTTGCTAAAAGCACACTTAACACAAGAACAAACTACAAAGTAGCACCTAATTAGACAACTAGTAGCACATATATGATAAGCAAAGAACACAACACAGTGAACTTCAAGCAAGAAAACAAGCATGCAAGTTTCTTCAGAAGCTGAGTTCATGGCTCTCCTCC